GGGTTGAGAATTTGTTTAATTTTTTTTTTAAATCCTCAACTGAGGATATTTTTTCCATTGCTTTTCAGAGAGGGAGGGAGGGAGGGAAACACTAGTTGCCTCCCCCACATGCAAGCTGACCAGGGCTGGGGATGGAGCCTGCAACCAAGGTACGAGGTATGTGCCCTTGACCAGAATTAAACCAAAGAAGCTTCAGTCCATGGGTCGACGCTCTAACCACTTCAGAATTTTTCGTTTTTGAACAGAATAGTAATAAAGATTGAGGCCAGAACCTAGTTTTGATTTCTAGCTGTCTCACTTAAGAAATATGGGGCATTTGGGAAATTTTTTTTAAAAATCATCTGAAATATGAATTTCCTCACCTATACAAAGTATCCTAAAATATTAGGAGGATCAGGGAAAAAACTACAAGAAAGTAGTTTTATCTTTTCAATTAAAACATCAAATTTTCACCCAGCCAGCGTGGCTCAGTGGTTGAGCATCAATCTATGACATAGGAGATCTAGGTTCGATTCTGGTCAGGGTACATGCCCAGGCTGTGGTCTCGATGCCCAGTGGGGGGCATGCAGGAGGCAGCTGATCAATGACTCTATCACTGATGTTTCTATCTCTCTGTCTCCCTTCCTCTCTCTGAAATCAATAAAGATATATTAAAAAATAATAATACCTACCTCACAAGGCTGCTTGCAAGGATTAAATTAATATATGTAAAGGATTTAGTGTGGTACCTGCCATACAAAGTGCTACATTTTAGCTATTATTAAGAAATAAAGATCCATCTACATTAAAAATAGATGTAACAGACTGTGTTTGAAAGGTCATTTTTATTAAGTCAGTTGCTGGAAATCCAATGCTGGTTAGATTTGTCATAATTCCACAGAAACTTACTGAACACAGTGTGACTAAAGTACAGCTTCCCATTGTTTCTATGGAATAATGTATCACAAGTTCCAACTGGGCAAAAAAATCTTACTTTTCTGACCACATTCTCAGGTTCTAGAAGTGACTATTCGGTTCATAAGAGACTAAAGTGGTCCTTTCTTTTTTTCCAGGCACAAATAGGAGCTTTTGAAGAAACATTAGTGATTTTTATGGTAGAAGTGGAAAGCGTATCTAAGGTTTGTGGATCAGATGCTTCTTGCTAATGGCCAAAGACTGATAATCAAAAGGAAGCTTTGTGAATTTCCTAGCAAAGAGAGGAAAAGGTGTATATACTATATATGCATGGATATACCTGCATGCGACACATTCCTGGAGTACTATAAACTTTATCTAGTTCTGCATAAATAACAAACTGTCATCTCAAAATACTCATTAAAACCTCAAAATCAGCCCTCACCAGGTAGCTCAATTGGTTAGAGCATGGTCCTGGATACGCCAATGTTGTGGGTTGGATCCCCAGTCAGGGAACATACAAGACTCAACTAATGAGTGGATAAATAAGTGGAACAACAAATTGATGTTTCTCTCTCTCCCTCCTTCCTTTCTCTCTCTAAAATCAATCAATAAAAAATTTTTAAACACACACACAAAAACATCAAAATCACTGTAAGATATCTTATTTCCAACTATTTCACAGGTTCCTTGTTATGTCCAGGACTGTTGATAATTCTATATTCTTAACTGTAAATTAAACAGAATATTTTATTTTAAAAATTTGCCTAAAATTTTGTCCAAATTGGATTAAGTTTACATAATTGATTTTAGGTTATTCTCTACAACTTCAGTGTGTAAACTGTGTCTAATTTCTAAAATGAATTTTTCCTGCTGTAAACTGTATTTTTAAACTGAATTTTCTCCATGTCAAACAATTATGCATACTAGTAATTCAAAGTATAAAATGAAGTGTAACTTGAAATATAAACATGATTCACTTAGTTGCTTTATGAATGAATTTTGATATACTGAGTTCTTTCATTAAAGCAAGAATATGCATATTAATTTGCAAGCTCTGCTTGTCAATCAATAGTCTTTGGTTAAAAAAACACTGAATTGTATAACAACGTATTTGTCAATGTGCATTTAAGACTTATTTACTTTATACCTAGTTTAACTAAAAAAACAAAAAACTTTAATCTCTGACTTTAAAAAGAACTACAAGTAAAAAAAACAAAAAACCCACAGCCCAATAATAAAGAATACGGAATGAAGATAAAGCTAAACAAACGACCCACTAGACAAGAGGGCCTGAAGAAACTGCCTTGCCATCTTTTCATCAACTAATACTGTCTGATTTGATCCAGCCATAATTCAAATACCAAAAGAATAAAAGAAAAGTACTGTTTACCTCAATGTTCAAAATTCTGCCATATTACCTGTAAAAAGGAAAAATGCTTCTTTTCATTTACCCTATCAAGCTTCTCAAAAAATTTAATTTACTGAACTCACAAACGCACTCGAGAAAAAACACACAATATAAAATTGAAATGACTGACATTTTATGTAATTTACATACATTAAAAAAGTCCTCAAATGCCTATGAAAGGTGGGACAAGCAGGAAAAAAAAACATGCCTCTTTAAGTGCTTATTATACGCAGCAGAAAAGCAGTAAGGAAACTCACAAGCTAGCTAAAATAGTAATGAACAAACATGTTTTTTTGGTAAACTTCAGCAGGGATACCTCAACTGCAACCAATACTAATCAGTTGCTTAAAAAAAAAAATCCCACTATTTAAAGTTGTCAGAAATAAATCTAAATAACTTCCAGACAAGGTGCATTAAAAGTACTAAAAATACGCATTTTCACTAAAAATGAACATTTCAATACCATTTTATATACATTCTCAAACTACTATAGTTTCAATCTGGCTTTCCACTTTCACACACTTTAGGTTTTTAGGTTCCCTACTCCCCAAATTTAAATGTATAGTATCCAAATCATCCTGGGACAGCACTAGAACAACTACTATACTGTATCACTGACTGAGAATTAAGCTCACCAAGCATTTACATTAAACAAGATATAGAATCACATCTTGTATAACTTTGTTGGTACAACGTCCTAAACATATCAGGGTCTATAAATATTTACTGACTCAAAGTAGTCCTTCAACACTTTGTAGTTCTGTTCTGTTGAAACAAAACTGCATCACTTTGCAAAATCTAAAGGACCTAAATGTTACTGAAATTTCACGGAATTCATTACTGTTTAGAGGTTTTAGCCGTGCCACTATTACCAACTGTAATGTTTTTTAATGACACTGGTACAGTGGATACGACAGCAAATCCAGTCAAAAGTGAACATCAGAACCCATTAAAAAGGGTTTTAAGTTAAAATCTTACATACTTCTCCTGTCTTTACCTATGTAGTCGATCTAATTTCCAGGAATATAAATGAAAGCTGATACCAATAAAAGAACAAGTAATCGAGCAGAAAAGCTCCCTTAAATTCTGGCAACAAGGTAATAGTGTACATCAATGTAATGAAAAAACGTTTTTTTCCCTATTCTAGAGGCCTTTCCATGACTAGTTTTTGAAATATACGGTGTCCCAAAAAAATCTATACACACTTTAACAGCTGGTAGCTCAATTTGTTTCCCTCTTCTCAGATTTAACCCACTGGAATTAATAATTATTCACAGTGTGTATACATTTTGGGGGGACACCTTGTAGTGATAAAAGACAAAGCAAATTGGTAGACCATTACCAAAAACACAAACTAGCATTAAAGATAACAAAAATATCTGGCAGCCCGTCTAAAACTGGTTCCAGAGCGTCAAAGGTTTTCTAGTTAATAAATTCCATCATGCCTCTAAAACAATGTCACTTTAGATGTGACATTCCTACAACAGCAACAGAGGACTAGAAGTTTCAGTGAGCCAGTGCTGGCAAACCCAAACTATGACCAAGATACCCTCTCTTTTGGGCAGTAACTACAAACTTTCTGTTCTGGGATCAGCTTGCTTTAACTAAGTTTAAAATGGTGCCTAATTTGAGAGGAAAGCCTGTAGAACAGATAGAGAGAAAATAAGTGGAAAATTAATTTTCACTTCCAGTGAAGTGTGTCTTTAAAATGTTCTGGACAGTAAAAACTCCTAAGAACAGGACCTAGGCTCCTTAGCATTCTCTGAGGCGTGCGCACTGCGCGGAAAGGATGAATGAATGGAAGACAGGCGTGTGTGAAATGCAGCAGGTCCGGCCGGCAACCAGACCCGCCGCAGCGATCAGCAGGCCTCGCTCCTCCCTCTTCCCTCCTCCATGACAGCCCAGTCTCAAGCATGGAGGGGCGAGAACAAAGTGATCCCCCTTCTCACCACCACCACCACCCGTCATCCTACTCTGAGAGCTTTACCGCGAGACACGGGGTTCTCCTCCCCACCCCAAACCTTTCTCGCCTCCCCTGCCGCCAAACCCGCCAACTCGCGGGCGCGCTGGAGTAACATGCGCTTGCCCCGGTCGGCTCCCCTCGGCGAGGTCGAAGCTTCTCCGCGCGTGCCGCCGCACCGCTCCCGCCCAACCCACGCTCCGGCAACGCGCGCCCACCGGCTCTCTGGCCACCGGTCTAATGAGGACCGGCGCGCGCCCCGCGCCCGAGCCCCTGGGCTGAAGGGAGGAAGAGAGGAAAGACAGCCCCAGGGCTCCCTCCTCCATCTCATTCCAGGCCAGCACGCCGCCCACCCTCTCTGGGGCTCCCGGCGCCCGCTCGAGCCAGGCTGCGCCCTCCTATCCCGAAGACAATCCCCACACACGTATCGCAGGGTTCGGATCACCCTCCACCCATGCGGGCCACCTCCCGGATCCGCGGGAGGCGCCGCGACGCCCCTCCCCCACTCCTCTCCCCCAGCTCTCGGGCCCCCACCAGAACGTGTGCGCTACACGCTGCCACGGCCAGCCTCCCGGGCGTCCCCAGTTGCCCACCGGGAGGTCAGGCCCAAGAAGAGGGGGAGGGGGCGGCAAGGGGCAGCGTGCGCGCCGGGAACGCCGTCCCGCGGAGTCCCGCAGTCCGAAGGGAGACGGAGCGCGGGGACCGGTGGGGGTGGGGGCCAAAGGCAATACTCACCGGTTCCACAGTCGCCATCTTAGATCGATGTGATCGCACAACCGCTCCTGAAGGGGGGGGTGAGAGGAAAAAAATGAGATTCAAACCGGGTTGGCTGGTTAATGTCCACGTGACGGACGTATCCGTTTGGCCTTGGCTGCGCCTGCGCAAGACTGCGGCTGCGTGGGTAACGAGAGGCTTCTGGGAAGTGGAGTCTCTCGCTCTCTTTCGCTCTCTTTTAAGGGCAAAGAAATTTTTTTTTAAGGACTGGTCACGTGGTCGATGGGTAAGGTGCGCGGTTCAGCGCGCGGCGGACACCCGCGTGCTGGTGGGTGGTGTTCAGTCCTCTGGTCTACCGCCTGGGTGGCTGCTGTCGCACTTACTGCCAGGCATGCCTACTGTGCCCTTTGTTGCCCTGTCGTCCCATCTTCCCCGGAAGGTTGGGCGCTGCGGGCTCAGTGCGCACACTAAATCTTCATGTGTTCAGTTGCGGTCCTAGGACAAGTTGCTTGTGTGTTTTATTTAATTTTCTTTTGACTTCCCACCATTTTCTCTCAGTTTCAAAAAGCGGCGGTGGCGGCGATGGAGCGTCAACCCTTCCCCGTCCCCTGGCCCCGCTAACGCCGGTGGTCACTCGCCATCGCTGCGAAAGGGGTGGCGGAAGCGCCCACCCGTACCCACTTGCCACAGGTTGGCGGAGTGCACCCGACAGCTTTTCCTATCCCAGATCCTAAGATTAAGACCTCAGGGCTAAATCTTGAGTGGAAGTAAAAATTATTTGGAAGTTCTGTCCTCTCGATTCCACTGTTCTGCTGTATAATGTGAACGGAAATAGCCTAAGTCCAGGTGCCAGCCAGGGAAGCCACTCCGGGCCCCGCTGACTGAGCCCTGGCCTGGTCGTAGGGAGTCGTTAGGCCGGGTCAACTATGACTCCACGTTGACTCACCCTCCTTAGGCGAGTGACTTAATCATTCAGTCCTTCAGCTTTTTCATTTATGAACCACAGCTGATAATACACTTACCTCACATGGGTGTGCAGGGGTAATGATTGTAAACCGGCTTTGAAAATGCATCAGACTCTGTAAATGCTTTATAATAAGCAACCCCGTGCCTGCCCAAGGATCAGCTACTTCCCCTCCTGTTTTCTAAAATAAGGCTTTAAAGTTTTTTTTACTTTGTTTCATGATCATGTACACAAGTGCAATTTTAATGTTTCAGGACTTTTTTTTTTGGTGGGGAGGGGGATGGGTGGAGATGGAAGAGGGTATAGGGGGGATAAATGGTGATGGAAAATAAAAGACAATTTGTTTCTTTATAACTGTAGCTACCCTCAGTAGGAGCTTTAATCTTCAGGAAAATATTGTTATATTTACAACAATCACCGGCAATTAGTAATTTATCCCCAAGCTGGCATCCTTTATTTCCTTTCCCTGTAAGATCTCAAGACAGTGTTATTCTGCACAGCCTGATTATTAATACAACAAACAGAAAGAGAAATCTAGTAGAGCATTACTATAAGGTTCTAATGAGAAAGATATTGTATATTACTATTTTCCATGCTTCTTAGGAACGTTAACACCAAAACAGCATAAGCAGGCTGCCTGTGCCTGCCTGCTTATAGTGTTACTGATGCCCAGAGCTGTGTCATACCTATTATTGAGTACATAATGGTTGCTTGAGTTGACTAACACATAATTGAGGCTGTATAAGATCTCAAAACCATTGCCTGTTCATGTTTTGATTTACCTGGATTGTCAGGCGTGATTGCTGAAAGCTATTATCTAGTCCACTTAGCTCTAGTAGGTGTAAAGTAGACGGAATTCTAAAAAATTAACTGATGAATGGACTTCTACTTACAGAGACTATCTGTAACTAGTAACTAGTAACTATTATAGTTACTTAAACTATCCAAAGTAATTACAATTGACCTCAGTGGTATTTTCTGTTGGTTAAAAGTAGTATCTGGTTACCTTCTTTGAGGGGATACTATAGATGTACTATTTTCACGATGCTGCTAGGTAACAGAGCAAAGAATTAAGGAGATTTCAGTACCTATATGGGACTGAAAGCCAGTGATTTTCTTAAAACTTTTTTAAATGATAACTTCCATTTTATTAACTTTTCTCTTGATGAAAAATTCCCACTTTTGTCAATCATCCTCATACTTTTACAATACTTATAAAATGTGCCCACTCTTTATAATTTCATTTCTCTCCTTTTTGTATACATTTTGTTGCATGTGTTTTATGGCACATTCATGTGTCTACCTAATATCACCATTAGATTCTACCATGACAAAGATTTGTGATTAGATATTTATCTATGTATGTATGTAGTTGTTTTGTTTTTGCCAATCAGAAATATACACAGCAGAAATTTTATACTTTTTCTCTACTATTCTGCAAAAAATTACATTTGTTACCTTACTACCATATTTGTGCTTATACTTAAAGAAAAGAGCAATAAAAAGACATATGAAATAGGACATGGTATTGAAATACTATTCTACTTGATCAAGTTATCTAGTTTAATACATAACTACTTATAGCTCGGCACCATATCATGGTAACTGTTATTTATAAGCCTGGAATAATTGGTTATCATTTAGCATCTGTAAATAGTCATAACCTTTTCTGTACCTAATATAATCAAGCTGCTATATTATTAGTCTTTATAGATTTAACATGGTAAAATACTTTAATTTGATAGAACATAAGTTGCTTTTATCATGTATTTTCTTCTTTGTCATTGGATTATTTGTTTTTTCTAAATAACCAAAGTCATTGTTTTCTGGACATTGTTCAGTTATTTCATATTGATTATATCTGTTGTGATCAATCCCTCAAAAATATTACTGCTGCACTGTCTACAGTTTAAAAAAAACAACAGGCCTCAGAATTTTAGACATTCTGTTTAGATTAGATACCTTTCTTAGTCTCTGATCAGTATTAAGCAGCCATTTTTATTTAAGAGAGTAGATTTTGAGACAGAAGATATGAAATTGCATAATAAATCATCCTTAATATTGCAGTATTGGATCTTAGCTTTAGATATAATGTAAAGCAACCTCTAATTAGCATGAATATTGGTGTTATTTTTTTAACCTTGTTCACTCTCTTTTTGAACTTGGTTATTTTTGTTGTTATTGTCACTTTCTACAGTGATATTTCCTTAGGAAAGACCAAAGATGATGGCTTCTAACAGGATAATTTTGAATTACAATTGTATAATTTAATATTTAAGAACATGAGCTCTGATGTCAAACTATCTTGGTTATAATCCCAACTGTATCGCTTACTGTGTGACCATAGGCAGTCTCTTTATGCCCCATATTTGTCACAAGTTAGAAGAGCATAGTAATAGTGTTATCTTGTATAGTTAGTGTAAGAATAAATTAGTTAATCCATGTAACATGTTTAGAATAGTTCTTGCAAGTACTCAATGTTAACTATAATTCACATGATATAATATTATGACATAAATTTCTTATTTCTACTTTTTAGTATAGTATAATATGCTTAAGAATTCTTTTAGGCAGAGAAACAACCCCAAACCATTATCTTTAAGGATATTCCAAGCTTTCAAAGTAAACTAATATTTATTGATTTCCTATAATATACCAAGTATTTTTCATATTGATTACTTCATTTGACCTTGATAACAATTACGTGAATTAAACATTATCATCCCCATTTTATAGATAAAGAAACAGGCTCAATAAAGTTAGGGGGACACATGCAAGTCTACACAGCCAGTGGTGAGCTGGAATTAAATCTAGTTCTCTTGACTCCAAACTGCTTTCCTCTGATAGGTTCTTCCAAATGCCTTTCTCTTTAAAGGACTTCTAATACTATACTAAGTTCATTTACAAAACTGACAAACCATTCGAGAAGTACTAAGTTAGTAATGGGAAATGTGTAATTGCTGAAGGCTATTTAAAGGACATGGGAAGCCCAGGCACTTCCTTCCTGGGCTGTAAGATCTGTTTGGCATCCTAAGTCATACAAATATAAATAGTTCAGTACCCATTCATAGGCATGTGACTAAGAACCAAAAGGATGCAGCTAACAAGCACTCATTCACCTAATGAATGAGCTAGTCACATAGTTCCTTCCCGCCTTTCATTCTGATCTCTGTTCCAATGCTATAGCATACCCATTACTCTTTATCCCATTATCCTGCTTTATTTTTCTTCGGACCACTTCATAACCCTAGCTCTAAACCCAATATTATATTGAACATTATTTAATTAATTGCCTGTGTCTCCACTAGTAAAATATTAGCTTCATGATGATTTGTAGGTAGATTGCTAACAAATATTTGGGAAAAGTCAAAATATAATTTTAAAAACTGCACAAAAGTCTGGCCTCAAGACTAATAATGCAAGTAATAGAATTACTATGTGTAGAGCACCATGTTAATCAGTTCACATGGATTGATAATACCTCATTTTATCTTCAACATTCTGAGATAGATAAAGAAACTGAGGTTAAAAGGCTTTCCCAAGAAGACGGTTTTGTCTTCAGGGCTCTTTTTTGTTTGTTCTGTTTTATTTTATTTTTCTTGCTTTGCTTTTTTGTCTTCAGGGCTCTTAACACTATATAATATTGACTAGATTGTAATTAGACTGCCTAATCAGAAAGACTATTGTCTGAAATAATGAGAAAGAAATACTCTGTGAAAAGTATGTGAAAAAATCATGTAAGTAGTATACTGGGCCAACAATAAGGCACTTACCAAAATGAACTCAATTTACCTTTAAAAATTGAAATTAGGAAAAATTAAAATGTTTGGGACAATATAAGTAGTCTTTAGTAATAACCCACAAAATTGTAAACATCCAAAATTCAGAGATTTGGCTGGAACTCCTGGGAGACACACTGGATTTTCACTGCTACATGCTTAAGTGCTTGCATTAAACTTGTCTAAAGAAAGGAATGTGTTAATGGGTAGGAATTGGCCTGCTTGCCATGTATAAAAGAGGACTCTAGAACAACAGTATTTGATGATCTGTCTCTAGCACTGTGCCTGGGACAGGGTACCCTGGCACAAAAATATGGATCTCTGGCCCTAGCTGGTTTGGCTCAGTGGT